CCAACCCCCCCCCCCCCCCCTACTGTTCCACACTAAAGCATATTCACACGTAGAGCCGCTTGCAAAACAAAACAAGCAAAAAAATAGCGTAATCTATATTCTCCTTGTATTATGTAACAAGTCAGGTTTTGTCCTTCAATGTTGTATCCGCCAACAGAATTTTTCCTATTGCATTTGAATCATCACTATCACCAATAATCTCCACATGAACATGTCCTATGTTTAAAAGCAATGGACCAAATCCCTCTGCCTCTTCTAGCTTCCCTGCTCGATCCAAAAGATAAATCATACAAGAATAGTGCTCATCGTATGGTTATCTTGAACGTCTTCATGTTGTTGATGATAGAATATGGAATGTGGATCTCGTGGATTGACTAAATCCCTCAATCCACGTCTATAGTTAGTTTTGTATATTCCTATTAACTCTCGTATATTCTTCTCTTGCTCAACACTTTCTCTGTGTATAATCATAGCTTCTATGTTAATAAGAATCATAAGTTTATACTTTATACCATCTCAATATGGTATCATAGCTTTAGATCTAGATTTTTATTTTTCTACTTACTTCAAAATTTTCTTCTTCTATCATATATCTCTATTTCTCTTTGTTTTCAAAAAAAGTTTCTATGATGTCTGACTCAACAGCAGAACGAACTTCTGTGTTCAAATACTCAAGACCTTCAAAGCACTTTACTGTTTCAAAAAAAAAAAAACATATAAAACATCAACATTAACTTAGTAGTTCTCCGCATCAAAATTATGATCGGTATCCGGTCAAAAATATGACATGACACTTACTTTTTTAAAAAGAAAATATCATATTAATCAACAAAAATGACTAAAATAAATAAAAATAGATAAAATAATCTATACTATTAAAAATAAAGGCATCCTTGAAAAATCGACTGATGAAAGTTGTGTGCACCCTCATTAATGACATTTTGGTAATTTATTTTCGGCTTTACATCTATATATATATCGATTTCTTACAAATCATATCACATATTAAATATACCCGATTTATTATCCCTCTTCCCATTAATTACTCTAACCATATTCCATATTATATTTCATACATTTATATTGTCTTATAAACCTTATATTATACAATTTCAATCTGTAGATTGACTACATAAATATTTATTATAATATAAATTAATTATATGGTATTCAGCTGCTCTCATACTTATAAATGTTTACATATTTATAAATAAATTGTAAATAAATTGTAATTTTAAATCATAATATATAATTCAATATACTGTATAATAAAATCAACAAAATTTAATATTTTATCAAATAAAAATATCTTAAATTATATTTTAATATAGTAATTTAGATATTATATTAAATACAATTTTTTATTCTTTTAATATATATTTTAATATTTTGCATTAATAAATTGAAGTATGTTGTAAACTCTATGAATATATGTTGTCATGAATATGTAATTCTTTTAATTTATAGTTTATAAAATAATTTTACTTAAGTTATATATATATATATATATATTATTTATTGTAGTAATTTAATTATGAATATGAATAATGTATTTATAAATATTATAGTAATAGTATTTCTTATTTATTAAATCCAAATGAATTAAAATTAATTGTAATAATATTGAAATAAATATTAAAAAATAAATATTTATATTTTACAGAAAAAGATAATATTGTCAAAATGCAATATTAGAAAAGATCTTAGTAATATCTTTGATATCTGATTTTGAAATTTTTTAAATAATATATTAAGATTCCTATTGAATAATAACTAATAATTTCAAATGTTTTCGTATTAACTTTCATTCATATGTCGATATATTATCATTCTCATGGTGACATTTAATGGACGAGATACAGTTTGTTAAGAAAATATTACAAAAACTATTTTCTATAATTATCTTCCTACTCAACAAAATAAATTGCTTCATCTACAAGTTTATAGATTAACGACAATCAATATCGTGGTTAGTTATTCTTTGGTTGGATTCCATAAATTTCGGTAACTTACCGTAGTTGGATTACCATTAACTATTAAACTTTAAACTTCCTATCTAATTCAAAATATCTTCAAGAAATATTCCTTATTCCTCGAAAGATATATTTTTTAAAATCGTCTAAATATTATGCCCTACATTTGCGTAACCTAAATGTATATCGTCCCTACCTATTATAAATATAGCCTCTTTTAACCACTATATTCATCATTCCTTGAAAAACCTAAAACAAAGATGGTGAATAATTTGAAGTTGTCTTTCTTTAGCGATATAAAATCGAGAAGACTGCATGTCGCATCCAAGTCAAAATCCTTCATACATGGAGACATTTCATGAAAGACATAGGGGAGACCATGGAACTAATCCTTTGTGAAGCAAATGTAAGTTTATCGTTTTATATAGATTTATGATTTAGATATCTTCATTTCGTAAAAGTTTAACCTAAAATGATAATGTTATTTTTTTGTTTATATAGAGAACTAAGATACATGCCTCGTGAGACATACATTTCTGAATTGGCAAAACATATTCGTGTTGGAGTTCGTGGACATTTCGTAAGTTTTATATATTTAATATAAAAGATATAAGCCTATAAGCATATTGATTTATAACTTGATATGCAATTCTATTAGTGATCAGAGATAAGTTTGTTGTGTTTGGGGTAAATTTGCTGAGAATCTTCATACAACTAGCCAAGAAACAGAAGGCATGGTGATATGTCTTCTACGATTTGCTAAGATTGGACAATATAGAGGTATTCCTTGAAAATAAAAACTTATGTTTCGATTTTGTACTAAATGACCATTGTTTATATAGTTGGAAATATGTTTCTACTAACTCAATGTTTTGATCATTCCTTCAATTTTCTGTTTTTGGTCAGATGAAATTACTCAAATGCTTATGATTTATTTTTGGTTATAGATAAGGTCTAAATCTCAAATGCTTATGATGTAAGTAGGGCTGGGAATCTGAGTCATCATCTGCGGGTCCCGCCCCGTTTAACCCCCTCCAGGCGGGTGCGGGTTGAACAATTTGAAAAAATTGATTGGCGGGTGCAGGTTATGAGTATTTTTATGCAGGGCGGGTGCGGTTTGGTGGATTTTGAATCGCGGGTACTCACCAACCCGCAATTTTTTTTATTTCTTTTCAATAGTATTGATTTTTCAAAACTATGGGCCATGGACCCATCCAATTTTGGTTTCAATTTAATATTATTTTAATTCTTTATACTCTCACAACACTTAATTTTATGATTCTCGGTTCAACCAAAAACTGACTCTGTTATGCAAAACTCAATTAAAATATCGTACTAAAAGGTTAAATTTACATCAAATTTCACATATAAAACTATCATATAATAGAAATCGAATAATTTGATATATGGCCGACTTTAGTCCCTGCTCGACGGGTGGGTCTTGCAGTCAAGCTCCCTTCTGCCTTTGCTTGTTACAACCAAAACAAAACCCGCACTTCTCAAGCGCGGGTCAAAATCTAGTATTAAAATTATATAGCAATTAAAATTTATAAAACTATGATTTAAAAAACTTCAAAGTAATTTCTGTTTTTTGAGTATTAATAAAATATATAGAAAAACAAAAATATTATAAACTTTCAATAATAAAGAATTTATAATATGTCATATCCTTAGAAAAACTTAAGCTTATTTTTTTGTATATGCTTCCAATGATGATAAAGTTTAATAAAAAAAAAACTTTAAATGAATTTTGTATTCTATTTCTAAAAATATTTTAATGATGTAATAAAAAACTGGACATATCGAGAGTGAACAACCTCATTGAGATGGCCTCACACATATCATTATCCACCAAAAATTAACACTTTATATCTTCACTGAAGGTGACGATTTTCAATATGTTACAGTTGATGGTGAAGGTGAAGGTTTCTGACATATGGCTCTTGCCAATGATTATATACTGACACAACTAATATAAAAATTATTAGAAACTATTGGTATTTATGTTTCTATTAAAATTTTAGTTTTTTGGTGAATGGTGATATGCTAGAAACCGTGTGTATTTCGTGAGTTGGTTCATCCTTCATAGCAATATGTTTGAAATTGACAATAAAAAAGAAAGGAAAAAGGTTTGGCCGCCGACGAAGACCTAGCCGTGAAGTCCTCACCGCCTTGCCTACCGCACACCCTACGGCTCTGGTGATCGCAGGTATGGGTCCCTCCTCCCCTCCTATGATCGGGAATCCAGAACTTTCCCAGTCCCCTGTGAAATCCTATTCTCAGGCTGCTGCTCAAGGTTTGCATGATCCAGAAGTAACGTTATCCAGCGTTGTCCGTTTCTCTCCTGTCGCTGATCTTCAAGGAGGAGTTGCCTCTGTGGATTTACTGGAGGAGCTACTCTCTGATTCTAAACCATTGTGGTCTGCATATATTCTTGGTCACTTCATGGGGGATGCACCCCATATAGGAAAAGTTCATGCCATTGCCAACCGAATCTGGTCTTTCCCGGACAGGCCTGCTAAAATCGATGCACAGTTCATAAGTCCCCGAACAGTGTTGTTTCGTATCGACAATCCACAACTCAGGGACAGAGTCCTGAAAAGAACCTTTTCGCATATTGCTGATATACCTATTGTGGTGGGTGAGTGGAGCCCCAAAACCGCTTCTGCTAAACCTGATCTCACTGCGGTTCCGTTATGGGTTGATCTTCAAGGGGTTTCGGATCATTTATTCTCCCACATGGGTCTTACTTTTTTTGGTCATACTATTGGACGCACAGTGAAGCTCCACCCAATGACGGAACGTTGTGTTCGACTAGATGTTGCTCTTCTGCTGGTGGTTATGAATCTTGAGGAACCTCTACCGGTGAGTATAAAAGTTAAGGGGTCAGGGAATATCATCTCTGTGAGTTATCCATGGCTGCCTCC